ACCGATGCTTTGTGACCCGGACTTAACCTGATATTTAGGAGACATTGATGCTACATAACCAAGATTTTCCTTAATTGGTGTAGTAAGTAAATATGGGTGTGAGTTCCGCGAGGCTAAGTTACCCTAAACTATTAGGACCGTCGACGCACACCCTGGTGCAACTGAAATAAACATGATGATCTTACTAGCGATCTATGAATGATGAAACCGAAATCTAGAGGAAGTGATACGATTACTTACATCGATTTCCTCAAAAAACAAAAATACGACAGTGCAGTCACAACCAGTTCAAATCGTAGCCTCCACGATAAACATCACAAGCTCTACTCAGTTTACTCGGTTGAGAGCAAATAGAAATCCTTTTTTCCCAAAAACAATTTTGAGAAAAATTGCTAAAAACAAGTGCAACTACTATACCTTTGTTTTTCTTTATAAGGACAAGATACCCTAACCTTTAGGATTTTTTCATTCCTAATTAATTAAAACTGTTATTTTAATTATTTAAAAACTCTTATTTAATTATTTGAAATATAATATCCATTAAAAGAGTCATAATCAGAATTACATTCTTTTAACGTTAATTTATTATATTCGGGTTAATTAAGTTATATGTATATCAAATATACACATATTAACTCTAATTATATTTTTTAGTCATGTACAATAATTCTACAATAAATTACGTTTAATATTTTCTCATTACAACCCCAGGGTGTGACCATTTAGGTTCTTGTATCATTACTGGTAATATGAGAACCATTTTAATATTACAAACAATGAATGACATCTAGCAATATATCATTGTCACCTAAGTTATAAGAAATCATGATTCAACATACCATCTTCGTGATTAACTCTTTTATGTATTACATCATTTTATCCTTTATATCTAGACTAGGCACAAGTCTTAGAATAGTCACACTTGTATAAACCATCTATTATTTCTTGATATCTAGAGTAGACTATAATCAACGAATAATTTGTGATTTCTTATATAAACTTATTCGAGCATGACATTGCATTTCTAGTCTCATTTAATCAAGTGGTCTGTGATAAATTTCCTATTATGCATGGAGGGGAAAAATATTATCTTAATCATTCCCATCCCTCTACACATATCGAGATATGTTTAATATCAGCCTATATAGTGAAACCAGTTACGGAGCATGTAACACCTCTTTGCCATATAAGTTCCCGAACACAAGTCAGTGATATAACATGCTTTTAAAATAGATTTCGTATTTGAAAAAAAGTAAAATTTTATTTCTTTAAATAATATGATCTAATAATAAAACATTTAAAATTTCATTTACTACTAATATGTAATATAGCGTTTACATGCATCATATAGTAGTTTAAGTTCACTGATAAATATAATACTACAAAAGTATATTTCAACCATTCCTACCAGAGCATAATAACATAACAAAAATACATGCCAACTAGTAATATCAAATGAACATCTAAAGATGTCACACTGTTACTTATGAGGCAACCCTTGACAGATGATATCATTTACACTCCTCACTCCGAAAGTACGTTATAACCTACGCATGAAACAATCACACTCTAAGTATTCACTTAGTGAGGCATAATAAATTACGTAAGGCCTTTTAAAATATAGGTAATCATAAGAGATCAAAATATGATTTATTTCGTATAAAATATATAAACGTATAAATATGACTTGATAAGAAAAGTTTCCGTCACACAACTTGCAAAATATATTTTCATATACATATCATACTTATCAATCAGATGAGAATACAAGGTACATAATTAATACCTAAGTGTTGCAATAACATATGTATTGTAGTACACAACGACACTATACAAACAATTCCGGAGTGGAAATTCATTATAAACACCATCCTTGCACACATAGTGCCATAGTACAACAAATGTACTATTACAAGAACACAATAATGCATTAAAGAAAATTGATCGATAACCACATTATTCAAGGTATTATAATTTCACCTATGACTCTCAATGTACATAAATAGGCTATTATATACAAATCGAATATTAAACATTTATTCCAAAACATCAATATATGATAAATAATATGGAACACATTCATTTGTTTTAGGGCAGTTCATACCCTAAAATTATTCAATAAAAACCATTTCATAAAACTTTATGAAAATATTTCAAAATGCATTAAAAACATGCTTAGTAAAACACTCGAGGTTGACTCATCGTAAGTCTTCCTCATATAATATAAGTACATAATAAAATGCACTCACCTGGTATGCCTACTATTATGTCTTACTATTGATATCGATTGTTCTTGGACTTTTTCTGTTCCTTTCGAATTGCTTGTATCATGAGTTTGATCATGATCTACACAAGCATCAATGCATAGCATAAAAAAATATAAAATACATGTTAGTATTCTTACTAACATTTTAAGCAAAATAATAATGATCAACAATACTATTATTTTCGTATTCTTCTAGAATCCATGTTAACTTTTCCTTTTACTCATAATGGTCCCTTCCCATTATTTCTTCATTTCAAGTCCCAAATAGCTCAAATAAAGTTTCATAATTTTAATTTCCAGCCCAATACCTCAACAATACCATTATTATCACTTAAGTCACTAACTTTCTCAATTTTTACCATTTGATGCCCAAACTTTGCTAACTTCCCAAAATAGTACAATTTCACATTCTAACATCAATTCCAACCCTTTAAATTAAAATTCCAGCAATGGAAATCAACTATTGGGTAATTACACATTTATCCCATAACTTTTTAAAATTATCAAATAGGTCCCCTAACTTTTGAAAAAAATACAAAATGGTCCCAAAATGTTCTAAGGCTTGTAGAACCTTCTAAATACAATTTCTAAGCCATGAGAAAATTTTCACAATTTTTCCGTATTTCTTTCTTCAAGGTCGAATGCTCTAGGGTTGGGATTCGATGATTTTCACATGAGTCAAGCATGAAATCAACCTCTATTAAACATTTTCAAGTCTCAAAAATCAAACCCCTAACTTAATTTCATTAAATAACAAGCTTTTCTTAATTTAGGGTTTAGGTTGAAATTATTTTCGACATGTATAGGCGTTTAATCCTCAATCAAGCTTTGAAATGATTCTACAACATCAAAAACCTCAAAATCCATCATCATCTCCTTAAACCCTAACATGAACATAAACCCTAAAATTTGGGATCTTTGAACTCAAACAATATTAGCATGTAATAATGGTACCAAATGATAGAGCTCATCGAATAGAACAATTTTCTATTTAACATCTTAATCCAAAAACCTAAGGAAATTGCTTGAAAATGAAAAATAAAATTTTCTCTTACCTAGGATATGAAAGAGCACGAAATGGAGCTAGAAGAAAACCTTATTTTCATGAAATGTTTAGTCAATTTCATGTTAATTTTTTATTTATTAAGCTTAAATGAATTTAAAATTTATTTAATGGAAAATGACAATTTTACCATTAATGAAACTTGATAATTACCTCCATACCAAGTTACATAACACTTATCATCTTCCTAAAACTTCAATCTTGCCATTTTTATCCAAAGGTCCATATTGAACATGAAAATAAATTCTAAAATCCAATGATCCACATTATTTTCAATCATTTTAAAATGTGAAAATAATATTTCTAAGCTTAATTTAATATCCTTCAAATTTTCTCAAAATTTTGTTCGATCCGATTTACTGAATTTTTAACGGACTTTAACACTTTCTAGTTTTTAACACAAATTTTGGATAAAAAATTTGATAACCACCAAAATTCATTCTTGAGGTGAACTATTCATTTATGAAATAATTTTTTTGGAAAATTACCATTTTGGTCCCTATACTTTTTTGTAATTTTATACTTCGATCACCAAAATTTCAAAATTTATATTTTGGTCACAAAAAAAATTTGGGGTATTATAATTCTCCCCCTTAATAAAAATTCATATTCAAATGTTAGTACATAACTGATGTAAAGAGGTACGAATATTGCATTTTCATGTCATTCTCTCTTTCCCAAGTAGTTTCCTCGACTTTGTGATTCCGCCAAAAAACTTTAAGTAGAGGATTTTCTTGTTCCTAGTTCTTTGACTCCTTGGGCCGAAATATCAAATGGTTATTCTTAATAGGTCAAATATGGTCGAATCTCTATTTCCTCCAAGGTAATGACATGTGAAGGATCTGATCGATACTTCATAACCCTTTACACATGAAAAACATTATGAATCATGTCCATTTCTGGAGGCAAAGCTCGCTGGTAAGCCACTGGTCTAACTCTTTTTAAAATTTCATAAGGTCTAATAAATCCTGAACTTAGTTTTTCTTTTCGTCAAAATTGTAATACTTTCTTCCAAGGCGATGCCTTGAGAAATACTTTATCATCTTCTTGATATTCAATCTCTTTCCTCTTCAAGTTCGTGTAATACTTCTGTCGATTGAAAGCTATCTTAAGATTACCTTGAATAATCTTCACCTTATCTTCCAGTTTTTTTCATGAGTCAGGGACAACAAAATCTCGGTCCTTTAATTCGAACCAATTTAATGGTATTCGACACTTTCTCCTATATAAGGCTTCATACGGAGCTATCTTGATGCTCGATTGATAGTTATTGTAGGCAAATTCTTCTAAAGGCAAATACTTTTCCCAAGATCCCTTGAATTCAATTACACATGCTTTTAGCGTATCTTTCAAAATCTGAATAGTCCGTTCAGACTGACCATCTGTCTGCGGATGAATAGCTGAGCTGAAATTTAATCGAGTAGTCAAGGCATCGTGTAAAGACTTATAAAATATCAAAGTAAACCTTGGATATCTGTAGGATACTATCTACAAAGGCACTCCATGAAGCTGAACTTTCTCTTTTATATACAACTAAACATATTTATCCATCGAGTAATCTATCCGGAATGGAATAAAGTGAGCTCTCTTGGTTAATCTATCTACAATAAGCCATATTGACTCTTTCTTGTTGGGTGTCAAAGGTAGTCCTGTAAAAACATCCATGGTGACTCACTCCCACTTCCATTCATGAATAGCTATCTGTTTGAATAATCTCGAAGGCACTTGATGTTCAACTTTCACTTGTTGACATGTCAAACACTTTGTAAAAAACTCAGCGATAACTCTTTTTATACTAGGCCACCAATACTGACTCTTTAAATTCTGATACATCTTGTTTCCACCTGTATACATAGTCAGCGGACTGCATTGTGCCTCAGAAAGAATATCATTCTTTAGTTCTTCATTGTAGGGAATGCAAAGTCTCTCACGATAATACAAACATCCATCACTCATGACTTCAAAGTCCTTAGTCTTGTCTTTTTCCACTTGTGCATTCCTTACTAAGAACTTTTCATATTTCCCTTGCAGCTCTTTAATCATATCTAAAAGCACCAACTTTAACTTTAATTCAGCAATCAATATGCCATCTTCCCTTAAAGATAAATGCGCACCCAAAGCTCACAAGGCTGCAAAAGTCTTTCGACTAAGTGCATCAACTACCACATTAGCCTTTCTTTGATGATAATCGATGATCACATCATAATACTTTAAGAGTTCAATCCACCTTCTCTGTCTCAAATTAAATTATTTTTGAGTAAACAAATACTTTAGACTTTTATGATTCGTGTAAATGTAGCATCGCTCACCATATAAATAATTGTGCCAAATCTTTAGAGCAAGCACAATCGATGCCAACTCAAGATCATGAGTCATATAATTTCTCTCACGAGTCTTTAAATTTCTAGAGGCATAAGCCATAACTTTACCTCATTGCATAAGCACACATCCCAAACTGTTATGAGATGCATCACTAAAAAACACATATTCTTTACCTGATTATGGTTGTACTAACACTATCGCCTCTGTTAAAAATTTATTTAGCATTTCAAAGCTCTCTTGATACTTATCTATCCAAAAAAAGGCACATACTTCCTTAAGAGCTTGGTTAACAGTGAAGCTATCATTGAAAAGTTCTTCATGAACTTTAATAGTAACCAACAAGTCCCAAGACACTACGAACCTCTACGACGTTCTTTGGGGGTTTCCAATCCACTATAGCCTAAGTTTTCTTGCGATCTACTCTTATTCCTTATGTCGAAACAACATGGCCAAGGAAAACAACCTTTGGCAACCAGAATTCACGCTTTGACAACTTGGCGTACAAATTTTTCTCTCGGAGGGTCTGAAGAACAAAGCGAAGATGAACATCATGCTCCTCTTTAATCTTTTAGTACACCAAAATGTCATCAATAAATACCACCACAAACTGATCCAAATAAGGTTGGATAAATTAGTTCATCAAATCCATAAATGCCACATGAGCATTAGTCAAACCGATCGACATTACTACAAATTCATAGTGTCCATAACAAGTTCAGAAATTTATCTTCGGAATATCCTCTTCTTTAATCTTTAGCTGGTGGTATCCAGATCAAAAATCAATCTTATAAAACACTGTTGTACCTTTCGATTGATCAAAAAATATCAATCCTTAGAAGATGATACTTGCTCTTTATCGTCACCTTATTCAGCTACCGATAATCTATGCATAACCACATAGATCCATATATCTTTTTTCATAAACAACACATGTTCTCCCCAAGGTGAAACACTAGGCACCTCCATCAAGAAACTCTTCCAAGTAGGCTATTAGTTCTCTTAACTCAGTGTAGCCATCTGATATGGAGCCATAGAAACAGCTTAGTACCCAAAAAAAATCAATCTTGAATTATACCTCTCGATCAGGAGGTAACCCAGGTCATTCATCTGGAAAGACATCTGGGAATTCTGAACTATTGGAATATCATCCAACCTAAATTTAGATACTTGAGTATCTATCACATTAGCTAGAAAAGTTGTGCACCATTCAGACATCAACTTCTTTGCAGTCACTACTAATATCACATTGGCATTGATTTCAATTTTTCACAAATTACCATAATTTTTGAACCCTCCGCATCTCTAAAAAATAATTGCTTCTTCTGACAATCTACCCATCAATAATGTGGAGACAACCAATTCAAGGCCAAAATGATCTTAAACACAATGAAAGGTAATTCCATTAGATTCACTGGGAACACAACCCCTTGAATCTTTATCAGGCAATTCCTATATATCTTACTCACCTTTACACTATGATCTATAGGGTTTATCGCTATCATATCACTTGAGATCATTTCTAAAGGAATTCCTCAATCTCTAACAAGCTTTATACTAATGTAAGAGTGCGTAGAACTAGGATCAACCAAAAAAAATACAAGTTCATAAAAATGTTGAAAATACCTGTTATAATCTTCAGGTCATCCCAGTCCTCATTAGTCTTTATATTATAAATTCTAGCTACTTTACACATCTCTGGTCATTGAGTCGACTCAGATGGTCCTCCATTTCTAGCTCTCCCTCTACCTCTTTGAGTCACTACTTGTGATCTCTCAGTCTACACTGATTTGTCCTCAGACCTCATAGAAAATCTCGAACAAAGTGACACATGTCACTACACTTGAAATATGCGCCACTGATAACTCGACATACTCAACCATGTACTTTACCGTACGTTTGACATGGGGAAGATCTATATTGGGATGCTCTGCCCAAAATAGCAGCAACTGACTGAGATTTCTTATCCTTATATGAAGCTACAACAGAATTAAACCTATTATTATATGAGGAACCTAAACCCTTACCTCTCTTGGCATGATAAGAAACTGAGGATGCTCTTGATCTTTTCATTCTCTAAATGCTCTGCTTTGCAGCTATTTCTCCTCTTGAGCCCTTTCAATTTCCTTTGCTCGATTAATCATTTTTTATAGGGTAGATATGTTCAATGGCAACATTATTTATTTCATCTTATGCCTCAAACCCTCGGTGAAACAGTCACGCCAGGCCTCGTCGTTGGAAACCAATTATATAGCAAAACAACTTAACCTATTGTACTAGGACTCATACTCATAAATTGTCTGATTTCCGTGCTTTAGATTGAGGAATTTCATAAACATTGCTCACAAGAATTGTTTACCAATGTAAAAAGAATTGCCACCTCACTCTCTCAGGTGACTCATACATCATGGAAATTGTCTACCACACTCAGGTTGATCCTCGAAGCAGCGATACAACTCCTTCAAGTTTTTCAGAGTCTGAGCAATGAAGATTATCCAACATCACTTTGATGTCATTTAACCATAATTCCGCAGCTATCAGACCTTCATCTTCCTCTCCCTGGAACTCAGGTGCTCCCAAACTTCTCATCCCTCTTGGAATCAAAATCTGGGGAGCTAGCAAAATAAGGGAGGTGAAGGAGGCTGATATCAAGCTAAAATCATATCTAAAGCTTGTATAAATTCTCTATGATATTGCATAGACACTCCCTGATGTACCAATCACTATTATGCAAGACCGAGTAGGATGCTTGATGTTGATTTCATTACTCCCACTATTAGTCCCTTCTTGGACTTCCTGATGTCTCTCTCTCTGTGGATTTTCGGATTATGACATCTAACACGTCACATAATCATAACAATTTAGATTAGTAAGAAGTGACATCAATTATATCATACTTGTAAATTTGACATCCTAGTGGCATGTACAAAATTTTCACATAAATACACTCAGTTTAGGTAGAGAATCAACTAAATCTACAACTCTGATACCAATAAATGTAACATCTCTTTCCCAAATAAGTTCCCGAACACAAGTCAGAGATGTCACATGCTTTTAAACAACTTTTGTATTTGAAAAAACAATAAATTTTTCTTTTTTTTAAATAATACAATCTAATAATAAATCATTTAAAATGTCATTTACTACTAATATGTAATATAGCGTTTACATGCATCATATAATAGTTTAAGTTCGCTGATAAATATAATACTACAAAATTATATTTCAACAACTCCTACTAGAGCATCATAAAGTAATAAAATACATGCCAGCTAGTAATTTCAAATGAACATCTAAAGATGTCATACTGTTACTAATAAGGTAACCCTTGATATCAGTTGTACTCCTCACTCCGAAAGTACGATATAACCTATGCGTGAAACAATCACTCGCTAAGTATTCACTTAGTGAGGCATTATAAATTAAGACATTTTAAAAACATAGGTAATCATAAGAGATCAAAATATGATTTATTTCATTTAAAATATATAAACGTATAAAAATGACTTGATAAACAATGTGTCAATCACATAACCTACGAAATATTATTTTCATATGCATAGCATACTTATAAATCAACGTATTCAAAAATCCATTCACAACATAATGTATGTCAGATGAGAATGCAAGGTACACAATTAGAACCTAAGTGCTACAATAACGTATAGTTATTGTAGAACACAATGACACTATACTAACAATTTTGGAGTGGTAATTCATTATGAACACCATCCTTGCACACATAGTGACATAGTGACATAGTGCAACAAATGTACTACTATAAGAAGTAATAATGCGTTAAACAAAATCAATCGATAACCACCTTATTCAAGGTATTACAATTGCACCTATGACTCTCAATGTACATACAATAGGCTATTATATCCAAATCGTAGATTGAACATTTATTCCAAAACATCAATAGATGTTAAATAGTATGAAACACATCCATTTGTTTTAGGACAATTAATACCCAAAATATTTTCAATAAAAACCATTTTCATAAAACATTATGAAAATATTTCAAAATGCGTTAAAAATGCTTAATAAAAGACTCGAGGTTTATTCATCGTAAGCCTTCCTCATATCATATAAGTACATAATAAAATACACTCACCTATGTCTTTTTATCGATATCCGATTATTCTTGGACTTTTTTCTTGCCATTCGATTTGCTTGTACCACGAGTTTAATCACAATCTACATAAGCAATAATGCATAGCATAAAAAAATACATGTTAGTATTCTTACTAACATTTTCAACACAATAATAATGCTGAAAAGTACTACTATTTTTGAATTATTCTAGAGTTCATCTTAACTTTTCCTTTTTACTCACAATGGTCCCGTGTCATTATTTCTTTATTTCAAGTCCCAAATAGCTCAAATAAAATTTCATAATTCTAATTTCCAGCCCAATGCCTCAACAATACCATTATTACCACTTAAGTCACTAACTTTCTCAATATTTACCATTTGATGCTTAAACTTTTATAACTTCCCAAAATAGTCAAATTTCACATTCTAACATCAATTCCAACCTTTTAAAATAAAATTCCAGTAATGGGTATCGACTATTGGGTAATTACACATTTACTCCATAACTTTTTAAAATTATCAAATAGGTCCCCCAACTTTTAAAAAATTACAAAATAGTCCTAAAATTTTCCAAGACTTATAGAATCTTCTAAATATGATTTCTATGCCATGGAAAATTTTTGCCGAATGCTCTAGGGGTTGGGATTCCATGATTTTGACTTGAGTCAAACATGAAATCAACCTCTTATTCAACATTTCCAAATCTCTACAATCAAACTCCTAACTTAGTTTTATCAAATCAAAAACTTTCCCCAATATAGGGTTTAGGCCAAAATTACTATGACCATATATAGGTGGTTTTAATCATCTATCAAGCTTGAAAATGATTCTACAACATCAAAAACTTCAAAATCAATCACCAACTCCTTAAATCCTAACATTAACATAAACTCTAGAATTTGTAATTTTTAAACTCAAGTAAGATTAGCATACAATAATGGTATCAAATGATAGTGCTCATCGAATAGACCAATTTTCTATTTCACATCTTAATAGAAAAACCTTTGGAAATTGCTTGATAATGAAAAATAAAATTTTATCTTATCTAGGGTATAAAGGAGCACGAAATGAAGCTTGTAGAAGGCCTTATTTTCATGAAATGTTTTGTTAATTTCATGCCAATTTGTCATTTATTAAGCTTAAATGAATTTAAAATTCATTTAAAGGGAAATGACAATTTTACCATTAATGAAACTTGATAATTACTTCCATACCAAGCCACATAACACTATCATATTCCCAAAGTCAAATATGAACAAAATAATTTACCCTTTACAACTTTACCCATGTTCTTTTCCATAGACTTCAATCTTGCCATTTTCATCTAACGATCCAAATTGAACATGGAAATAAATTCTCAAATCCAATGATCCACATTATTTTCCATCATTTCAAATTGTGGAAATAATATTTCTAAGCTTAATTTAATATCCTTCAATTTTTTTCAAAATTTCTATTCGATCTGATTTACCGAATTTTTACCAGACGTTAACACTTTCTAACTTTTAACACAAATTTTAGATAAAATATCTGATTACCACAAAAACATAATTCTTGGGGGTTAACTATTCATTTATGAAAAAATATTTTTGGGAAAATTACCACTTTGGTCCTTATATATTTCTCATTTTTATATTTTAGTCACCAAACTTTTAAAATTTATGTTTTAGTCACTAACAAAAATTTGGGGTAATGTAGAGCATGTTTAACTGTATCAAAATATACAACAATATATATTGAGATAGCAATGATCTCAAGTCTAAGGATCATACACATCATCGTTAGCAATGTTGTGACCGTCACATAATAATCCAAGACATATGGTCATCGTGGGTCAATCCAATATGTCGTTCTCTAATAATATATTCATGTATCGATTCTGACATCTTTATGTCAATGATAATTCATTATCATCAATCAATAAAATGTTAGTCTTAAATAAATTATTATTGTCCATACCCTTAATAATATTCGACAAAGGATTTTAGTAATAATTATATCATTATATGAACTTTATTATCTTTCAGTTTATATTAGACACATAAATATAATTGAAAATAATAGTGGAAATGACTTTATTCAATAAAATTGGTAAATAAAATGTATCATAACAATCATCTTATGATTAATCTTTGGGCATACTCTAATAATCTCCCACTAGCATTAAGTCCAATCACTCACATATCTAATACTGAGTGACTCAATGTGATGATCATTCTTCTGCTAAGCTAAAGGCTTCTTTAGGGTATTTGCAATGTTGTCATCAGCGTGTACTCTACATATCTCCACATCTCATCAATCAATGATCTCTCGAATGAGATGGAAGCGCCTAAGAATATGTTTGGACCGTTTATGAGATATGGGCTCCTTTGCTTATGCAATGGCTCCATTGTTATCATATTGGAGTTCTATAACATCCGATATGCTGGGAAAAACCCCTAGTTTGGATATGAACTTTTATCCAAACAACCTCTTTTGATGCTTCACTGACTGTAATGTATTCAGCCTCTGTTATAGAATCAACTACTTTTTCATTCTTTAAACTCTTCCAGTTCGCAACACCTCCATTAAGACAAAACACAAAACCCAATTACGATT